TTAAATACATGTCACATAGGTAAACAATTAAATAAAATTAATAAATAAAAATAATTAAACCAAATAATTACGCAAAAATACAATAAAAATAATAAATAAATGCCGAGACTATCCTTTTAAAATTAGGGGTATTACATAACTCAACTAAACAGTAAACACAAATCTCAATTAGAAACAAATTAAAGAATCAGAGAGCCTAATATATCTTATTCAGTTATATTTTTGGTCTCTTAAAATTCATTTTTTACAAAGAACACAAATCTTTAATATTTAAGTGTAGATTTTGAATGAATAATAAATGGAGGATAAATATGCACATGGAAATCATAATCAAACTCTAAGAACACGATTTTGATAAGATAAAAAGTGAGAGCAAATAATATTTATACAGACATCATAATTAGGATGTGAATAAAGTGTGTTCGGGATGAGGTACTTCTTTTCCAAATTCGTTCCATTAGTGATTTTTTTTTCTTTTCCAAATTCGGTTTAGGCGGCTCACATCAGAGTCGGGACGCTCCGATATATATATATATATATGATGGTGTTGTGGCCCAAATTTGGTACAAACGCGACTCGCTTACAACTCAATGACCGTTGGATGAGCTTTGTGTGGATATTATGATACTTGCAAGGCATTGTAAAGGTTGTGCTAGTCTATGATAGAGGCAGCGACACGTGTGGGAGTGTTGCTGGATATGTTGATTCGGATTATGCTGAAGATCTTGATAGGAAGAAGTCCTTGACAGGGTATGTCTTCACTCTTTGTAAGAGTGTGATCAGTTGGAAGGCGACTTTGCAGCCTGTAGTTCATTTTCTACTATTAAGGTTGAATACATGGTAGTTACAGAGGCAAGGAAATAAGGTATATGGTTGAGAGGCTTCGTTGGTGATTTGGATTTGCATCAGGATGATTTGATTGTGTTTTACGACAGCCAGAATTCCATACATTTGATTAAAAATCAGATGTTCCATAAGAGGACCAAACACATTGATGTCAAGTTTCACTTCATCAGGGATGTGGTTGCACATGATGCTATTGCAGTGAGGAAGATTGGGACAGCAGAAAATTCAATAGATATGATGACTAAGGTCATTCCTACACTCAAGTTCAAACATTATCTAGACTTGATTGGTACTTGCAATTGCTGAGGCCTTTAGGGGCATAAGGAGGCAGCGAAAGGAGTAGTTGGAGATTGTCGAGCTTGGCGTAATTTAAGCCAAGGTGGAGATTTGTGATGTTATGGCCCGAATTTGGTGCTAGGTCACGTTGCAACCTACTTACGATCCGTGACCGTGGACCCCAATTAGTCTCTTGTAATCCGATATATAAGGGCGCTTAGGGTTTGGAGTGGGGTAAGAAAAAAACTGAAATTCATATAGAAACAAAGTGAGGGACTAAAAACTTGTAATCTTCGATTTTACACATAGTGAAAATTTTCGTCGGATCCCAACCGTAGACGTAGGCTATTGTCGAACCACGTATAAATTTTTGTATTCTTTATGTGACGTGTTTACTTTTCTGTTATAATTTTTGGTTCAATTTGGGTTTATTGCGTTCGAATAAAAAAAATAATTTAAATTTAAGATAAATTTTGTAAATTATTTTATAGTGACATCTTTCCCATGTTCAAGTGTAATTGTCTTTGTTGGATAAAGAAAGAGAGTGTCTATTTGTCCCAGCGGTGGAGATGTACAATACTGATAATGTATCTCTCGTAATAATATAATAATAACAAAAAAGTTTCAAACGGTTAATATAATAATAACAATTGTTTCTCCTATTCACCCATTAAATTGAATAAAATTTAATAAAAACTTCATGGATTTGATCCTCCATATTCTCGACTTCACCTTGAAATTGATTGGAACTCCATGAATGATCTCAAAATAAAATACTTGAACTCATTGATCTTAAATAAAATACTTAGATTGTGTGAATAAAAGGAAAACAAGGTTGATCATATGACCTCTTTTTGCTACTAAAAAAAATGTCCGCAATTTGTTTCAAGTGCTTGCGATAAAATAAAAAAATAAAAAAAAAAAAAAATGAACCAAAACAATTTACAAGTTCAATAAATTTAAATTTCAAAAAGGCCCCTTTTAAAAATGCACCCTTCACATTTTTACTTCACTGAATTTTTTCTAATTTATATTATTAACTAAAATTTCAGTTAAAATTTTAAAAATATTCTCACTCAATTTTTAAAATGGCCCACTTCATAATTTATTTTTTTAAAATTTTTTTACAATTTTTTTTTATTATTCGAGAATGCCTCCTTCAAAATAATTCATGGGTTCCTCACTGACTCAACCTATCAAAAAGGACAAATTTTAAAGTGCGAAAAAAAAAAAAAAAAAAAAAAAAAAAAAAATGTTCTTTCTATTTTGGTGTCAAAATCAAATGTTACTTCAAAATTAATGCGAGTGATGTATTAAAATTACTAGGAAAAGAGAGAGATTGTAAATGGGGTTTTCTTGGAAATTTGAATGAACACAAACAAAGGTTGTCGGTTGTTCTAAGTCTATGCAGAAGCGTGTGGAGAAATGAGAATAAAGTATCTCTAAAACGTGATTCGTAAGTTAGAAAGAAGGTTCATGAATTACATCGAATAAATGTTAGTTGTTGAATGGTCGCTGGAAATACATGACTTGGTCCCACCATCAGCCGGCTTCAATGTGTGTTTTTTTTACCTCTAAGTCAAAAAAATACGCAGAAAGAAGAAAGATCCTCCTTTTCAGTTGGAGCAGGGAGAGATGGGTGTCACACACACAAAGAAAAAAATAAATAAATAAATAAATTGGTTCATAATTGAGTAACGATGGTTTGGAGAAGTGATGTTATTATTTATTTTTAATCTATCAAGACTAAGACTTTCTTTAAATAATTCTTGAAAATTGATATCCCTGCTGCAAACAACAATAGAGTGAACTACTTCAAAAATTACACTACGGATGTTGTAGGTGTAAAAATTATCTACAAAAATTGATGAGTCGAGAAATAAAAACAATGTATAATAGAGATTCAGAATTTTTCGATATATTTTACTGCAGGCTCCTACTTCTATTTATATAAGTTTTGATGGTAAAATTATGACTCACCTTACTTGTCTCTCGCGATTTATTCACCATTATCCTTTCACATTTTATTCCATATAAGGCTTTTTTCTATACAGGGCTCTTTCTTCGTATACCTCCTTCTATGTGAGGCTCCCTCAATCTTGTGACTAATTGATTCGAATCATGAATTATATTTATCCACGCTGTATGTTTGACCGAGAATAGATTAAGCTGATCTTGTGATAAGCTGATGATGACTCTTTTGGGCTTATCAAACTAGGCTTTGAAAGTCATGTGGCCCAAAAGAAATGGGTTGTAATTCATTTGATGACGTGGGTGGTTTTTATTGGTTGGGAGATTTTTCCCTCCACAGATGTATTGGCCGATCCCAAAACAGACATGTCTTTGGCTTGGGGCAGCATGCAACGATAATTTTTTTAAAAAAAATTATGGATCTATTCAATAGGATTTCTATTAATTCGTGTGTGTAATTTTCTCATCCTTTATTTATTGAATGGAAAATAAGAAATATTTGAAATTTCATTTTAAAGGTCATTATCTAATGCATCTACATCAATAAAACATTTTGAATGGAAAATAAGAGATATTTGAAATTTCATTTTAACGGTCAATATCTAATGCATCTACATCAATAAAACATTGTAGGCAAGTACAATGATTCATTGAAATTCACATTTGTATTCTAATATTTGACAAATTACACTTTTATTATTGTATCAAAATACTCACGTAAGGAAATATTTCAATTTGAGTTTGATTATACAAAGAACTCATCAAACTTTTGGCAAAATCAAAATGTAATAGAATGAGAGACAAAAGATTAAAAAAGGACGCAGTTAGATACTAGTCTTGTCATGCTGAAAGGAAACGTTGAGGACTAACATAATTTTTAACAATGTTTTTAAGCCGCTCATTTTATCACTTTTTACAAAAAAAAAAAAATTAAAAATTGTCATCCCTATTTGAAATAAGAGTAATGCAACAATGATTAATCAATTTTTATAAAAATTCTCTTTTAAAATGTTTCTATCAATAATTGAAACATCTAATACATAAGATTAACATACTTATGTGTTTTCTAAATTAAAATCATTATTTAAATTTTGATTATTCACTTTTGCTTCTAGATATGTCATGGCTTACCGATGCCACATTAAGGACAAAAAAACACTAAATTAAAGTTGGAGATCTCATGTTCCATGGCCCAACCATCTATGACTAAGTGGGACTAAACTATTTAAACAACAAAGACAAGACGGCTGTTTCTATTCTCCACCAATAATGCATTTCAATAAGATTATACTTTTTTTTTGTTTTGTTTGAGAACACAAGTGATTGCAGCCGCTAGATTGGAAACAGCAATTGCTTCTATGGTCCATCAACTTGGTATTTTCATGGAAAAATTAGGCAAGAGGAGAAGCCACTTTTTTGCACCATTACAGATTTTTTTATTCCTAAACCTTAACTGCTCTTCAAACGTCAGGAATGACGTCGTTTTTTTCTTTTTTTTTTTTTCCCCGCACACGGTGCACAAACATTATCTAATTTCATACATATTTCTATATTGTATAAGCTAACAAGCACATATCATATATCAATCTCAACAACTAACTACAATGGCATTACATCTTATCTATAAGCTAATTCCTCTGCTCATAGTATATAATGCAACTCATCCAACTTGAACACTCACTATGAGGGGAATATCCTCAGTCCACACCAGACTAGAGTCATTGGTAATTGAATTTACTTTACTGACCATTTTTTATTACACACTTTCATCAACACCAAATCAGATCAAAACCTGAACAAACAGAAACTTTACAAAAGTGTTTTTAAAAAATAAAAATAAAAAAATCTTCCACCATGCTTTAAAAAGTAGGCCATGGATAAAAATATAGTAGAACACAGATAGCCAAGAAATGTAATTCTGTTCCATTCAGCATCATAGTAGTATATAGAGAATTCATCATCCAAGAATGGCAAGAAAATAAAATCAAGTTTTCCATCTACATAACAGTTTGAGACTAGATATGCCATCTTCAAATATGTGAAGGGCTAATTTGCTCTCATGCTTTAGCATAATATACTATAAAGCAGGAAAGCGCTATTTATACTAGCAATAATTTTCCAGTCTTGCTAATTAAAAATTGTAAATCCATCACCAAAAGAAGAGCTTAGAACATTAACCTCTCTACTTTTCATTTCTTCCTAGTAGAGTTGCCTCCCAGATTCATCCCCTGAAGGTTCAGCAAAAGCTCGTCTGAATTCAAGAGCACCTTGTTAGCAGATTTTGATATTACATGTGCAATGTCCCTTGCAGCTTCAATCTTTCGTAGAGTGATGAACGACTGGTTGTTGGCAATAGCTTCACCAATCAGATGGGCACTCTTGGCCTCACCCTGATGATAAAAAATAAAAAAAAATTAATTGATGAGAAAGATTAAACTTGTGGATGAGAAGTTCATAATGAAATTAGAGAACATTTTCTAACCTGTGCTCTGATAATTGCACTTCTCTTGTCCTGCTCCGCTTTCTCCACAACGAACTTGGCCCTCTCAGCTTCTTGTGCCGCGATTTGCTTTGCCTCAATTGCAGCTGTAAACTCCTTCCCAAAAGTTAGGTTCGTAATGGAAACATCGTCCAGTGCAATGTTGAAGGTGGCTGCTCTCTCTGTCAATAGTTTCCGAATTTCACGACTAACAGCCTGCAGAGAACAATCAAGGTTGTCAAAAGCTTGGCATAAATGAAAAATAGGAAAACAGAAAATTTAACAATCTGATCTACAGGGCACATTCGGACAATCTGAATAGAAAACAGAATGTCTTCCGGAAATTCCAAGAACAACTTTTGTTATTATCACTATCAGAGACGAATCTTGCCAAAGAGATCGGATAGATGGATGCCCAATCAAGTCCGAGCAAGTGCTCATAAAATTACTAAATGTGATACTAAAGAAACGTTCGCCATATCAGAGTTGAAAAGCGGCCTGATTACTAACCTCTCTCTGAGTGATGAGCTGGCTTGCATTATATTGTGCAACCACGGCTTTCAAAGTTTCATGGATTATAGAAGGCAGTACTCTCTCATTATAGTTCTCACCAAGCGTTCGGTAGATAGTAGGCAACTGATCTGCCACTGGGCGTGTAAGGACTCGAAGAGAAATCTTGACCTGTCCAGAAAAATGTTAAGCAGGAACCTTCTACTGGAATGATTAACAGAATATCTCCTCAAAGCACATTAAATTGCTAAATGAAAAGGCACCCAAAACTCTTTAAGTTACAGAATCTTGAAAAGTAATTTAAAGATCATAAGCGTGTAATTATATAGTAGTTAGTTTGACTCCATAACATGATTTTTCATAGAACCACCTTTTTTTAACTACAGTATAACAACAAACTACAAGAAGGACATGGATTCTCACTCTAGAAAACATATCAACACATAAGTAGATAATGTCCCAGAGATACGGATTCTTTTAGTTAGGGAACCAGCCAGAGTTTTTAAGAGCACAACAGATACCCATATTTATTTTCTTCTTTCATCTAATTATAGAGGCAAATCAGGGAAATATACTTACCATTTGGAGGTTACGACTCCCGATATTTAATTTCTTTTTCTTCTTTCATCTAATTAATGGAGGCAAATCTTGGAAATATACTTACCATTTGGAGGTCGCGACTCCCGGAAGTACTCTCAATAAGTTGAGGACGTGCACGAACATTGTAAATGATAGGCCTTTCAAACCAAGGAATCATCAAATGTGTTCCTTCAGGATAAACCTGCAAAACACTTTAGTCAGCAAGAGGAAAAATAACACTGAACACAATAACCCAAGTGTTTGTGTTGTGGAATGGGAAAATGCAACAGGGCCCTGAATTTGGACACAATAAAAGCAAACAGAAATTGATTCAACAGTACCAAATAAGTTCACCATTTCCCGGATTGATAATAAACTAAAACTATGTCAGTCAAGTGGGGGGGAAAAATGCGAAACTCTTACTCCAAAATACCCAGTACACCTCACATGAAGTCAGCGCTTTGCTACATTGGGACCATGGGTTCATCAAGCTTTTGGAATTGATCATGATGTTTTCATTTAAGCAGTATCTTAATGATTAAATAACCCAGGTCTCCTGCTAGAAGGTGCATGAGAGAGTCAGAAAGGAAATAAGCATCATGCCTCAATTGTAACATGCAGAGTGTACCACTCAAAAGGAGGTTTTGCTTCAAATTTTGGTACCTACTACCCAGTTATATTTCGGGGGAATTTTTAATCTTGCCGGTTAATTTTGACTACTTTAACACAATTTGAGTTTTTTAAACACTCTTGGTCCTTTAATTAAGGATTTCCTTCTTTATTTTTTATGGTAATCCATGTTACATGAGCTTTTAAAAAATGCATGAAGCGCTCATCTCAGGCACACAATACTTTGGTTGGAGTATGTGTCTAAAAAGCGTTTCCAAATGTGAAATTAAAAAACTGAATGCAGCCTCAACTAGAGGGATCAACCTGTGCCTTTTGATTTTAAGACACAAGAGGGTCAAGTTGATGGCCCTGATAAGCATTACCCAATAATTCATTATTGTGTAATTGTCCATAAAATTCTTTTCTTTTGCTACATTATGCTTCAACGCAAGTGAAGTGTTGATGTTGAACACCATGTTATATAAACACATTATTTTACTTTATAAAATAAAAAAATAATAATATGAACATGTAGTCGTGTCAGAACCATAATATTGCAATGCATGATGTTCTGGTTCCATACAAAAATTAATCATGAATGCAAATGACTGAAACAAGTAACTGCAAATAAATAGAAAGAACACTATTTTCTAATTCACACAGTTGAGAAACAAGACATATGCAGGACAACATGCCCAAGTTTAACTCATATTAATAAGTGGCTATAATTGAGATTTATACACCTATATCTTTCCAGAAGAAAGTAAGAAAGCAAGTTGAGACAAGTTAGATCGAATGAAAGAAAGGAAAAGAGCAAAAAGATTATTTTGGTTTTTAGCAGTTTAAGGACAGGAAACCTATCTTCCTTTTGGGTTTTTTTCAAAAATGGCCCAAGTTTAGTTTCTATTCCAACAAGGAACAAAAAGGACAATATACAAGATGTGTAGAAAGAGTTGTGATACTTAGCTCAATCTGTGAAACTACAGGATGTACAAGAACACACCAATCCTAAGGATCCATAGGATTAATTGTGTATAAAATAGGATAACCATTCATAAGCAAGAAAAAATAAAAATATAGAAGTAGGGTAAAAAAAATAGAGGCAAAACACCACATAAGTAACCATAGGAAAATATAAGTGAAGTTGAAAGCACGTAACTGAGAGAAGAGGATGATCATTTCAAGTATACCTTCCAAAAGAAAATAAATACAAACACTAATTCATTTTTCTATTTAGAATAAAAAAGCTGTGTGGATGAAGTCTACCTTTTCTTTGACGCCAACAAGACGATTGAACACAATGGCTCTACTGCCTCCCTCAACATTGTACAAACTGTTAAAGGCAGCATACAGACCTACCCCTCCAACGAGTCCCACCATAGCCAAAGCGGGAACTGCCCTTGGCACCTTGGGGATTTTAACATTGTTCATATTTGTATCCCTAAAACAGCTTGAGAGAAGAGGAAATCAAATTTAAAGAAAAATGAACTAAGGAAATCAAATTTAAAGAAAATGAACTAAGTTTCAAAAATCAGAAATACACAGTGAAAACAATTTCACTGTCTATTAGAGAGCGAGACTGTTAAAAAAGAAAAGAGATATACCTAAGATAAATTAGAAAAAGCAAGAAAACAAGGAAAGTCACTAGATTATGAACATTTTAAAGAAAAAATTAATATTGCACCAAAATATTTTCCCAAACTATTACTCATCTTAAGAACAAAAACCATCTAATGATCATGAAGCAATAATTTCATAGATACAATTAGAGGACAGAAAAAGTGAAAAAACTAGATAGCATATTAAGAAATAAAATCACTTAAACAAAGAAATGAAAAGAGAGTTAAACCAAAAATTAGGCGGATTAATCGGCAGTGCACTACTTACAACCATTTTTGTCATAAAAACCAAAATTAAATATAAATTCAAAGCTACTCAACCTATTCCTAGACGTGGTTGATACCTGGTCTCATGAAAGCAAAGACTAGAGTCTGATTTGGATGTTTCCATGCAATTACATATAATTCCATAAAAGAAAGGTCATCATAAATGATCATTGCATCAAGTATAATGATGCCACAGATTACAGTGAAATCTTGAACTAAAAACCATTTCATGAATCCCAGAAATCAACCTACATTACCAGTTTTACCCTTGGACCTTTTTTAAGCCCTCAATTGTTCCCCTCTAGATATGATTCGTTCCTAAAATGCTATGCAGATTATGATGAATTCCTTCATTTTCGAAGAGACGTTCTAGAAATTTACAAATGCTGCTCCAATAAAAAAATTTAGGGGATTCAATCCATCCAATGGTAATATACAGAATCGATATGTTTATCAAATACACGATTATTCAGAGTGAACATAAACTAAAATCCTGTCAACTAAAATGCTGAAGCACATAGATCAGACTAATTGAACATATACCAAATCAAGTACCAAAAAACTCGGGCTCAAAATAAATTCTGATATCAAACAAAATCCCAGAGCAATAAATACTATGTGTGTGTGTGCGCGTATCCTCATCGTTCTGTATAATATGATCGATGAATGCGAACATCCGTACACACATATTGTATCTCTATCGTTGCGTGTATATTAAGCGCTTGAAAATATAACGAAGAACAGAAAACGATTCGACAAATAGAAAACGATTCGAGAACAATGAGTAAACATAGAACGATCTGATCAGACCTTAATCGCCTTCTTCAGAGAGAAAAAAAAAATAGAGAGAAAAGGAGAGGAGGGTTTAAGGCATGGTTTAGTCTAGGAGGGTTTGGGTCTCATATCCTTTTGTTTTTCTTTTCTTTTCCGTCAAGTCAGATAATCGGTAAATATCTGGATAAACACCCTTTTTATTTGGCAATATCCAAAAACTGACAAAATTTTTTTTTTTTTTTTTTTTAAATATATATTTTTATTTTCCCTTTATTTTTGAAATAGTTGTTAACGAGTAATTAAACACCTGTCCCAGGCCCCCAACCCCACGCCAAATGTGACAAAAATATTTATTTTATCGGTTATGAAATAAGCCGCTGGACAATAGTAGTACCAATTTTTTTATTTTTTTATTTTTTTCTTTTCATTTAGAAAACAACAAATTACAAAATTAGTATTGAGAGTACTTATATTTTGTACTAGTTTTATTTAATCGGTTATTTAATAGAGTAATGCTATTACAAGAGTGCTTTCGCAAAAAGTCTAAACAACTCCTACTTATACATAAATTACATTATTTTTTTTTTTAGAGATTTGGAAAAGAGAATTAATTAAGAAAGAATCATTATAATAAGGAAACAAATAATTTATTTTTTTTTTATTTTTTTATTTTTATCTCTTCTCTCCATGTTGTCCCTTTCTCTATCTTGGTTAATACCCTCGACCAATCTGTCTCTATATAAAATTTCAATAAAATCAAAGTTTAAAAAGTTAGGTAAAGTTTTCAATAAAATCAAAGTTTAAAAATCTAGGTAAAGTATAATAACACTTCCTAAAATTTGCAAAAAGGACACATAAATAAAACTTAGCCTATTTTGGAACAAAAACACCCCCTCAAGTTTGATAAAGTTACCAAAGACACCCCAATGGTAATAAATTGATATTTTTGCCTTTTGAGTTTTATATTGATCTTTTTTGAATGTTAAAATTACCTTTCTAACCTTCTCTTGGTTTAATATTTGCATACCCATTTATTTCCATCTCTCCTGTCATCAACCTTATACCCACACAGTTTCTCTTTCATTCATTCATTGGCGCCATATTGCAATCAATACTTAACCTTTTTCCGGTTGGTTCGTTGTTCTTTGTTGGTTTGATCCCTAAAGCTTACTGTTTTTGGTCTCTGAAGTTTACTGCTCTGATTTTTTATTTCTGTTTCGCTCACTGTACTTTGTTTTTGGCTCAATTTGTATATGATTTATCTTCATTTTTGGCTCAATTTGTATATGATTTACCTGCATTTTTGGCTCAATTTGTATATGAAGCTCGTAGGTTTGAATTGAAAAATCATGATTAGTTGTCAGAAGATGCCCCAGGCCAATAGAAATACCACGTTTTTGTTTTTTTGTTTCCGAGAAAAAAAAAAAAAAATTCTATAATGGTTTTTTTTTTTTAATAAAAAAAAAAAATCATATTTAGTTGCTTAAATCTATGGAGGTGAGGTGACACTGTTTATTCAATCTTTCACCAATACCTCTTTTGATTAAACCATACTATATTTCAACTTTAAGCAATTATTCAATGAATAAGCTTAACTAAGCACTAATTAACTAAATCAACGAGGCAATGTATATAGAATACAATATGGACTGATGAGCCAACCTACAAATCCCTATTGTTTGGACTTGAAAACAATCCAAACATCATAGTAATTAAATTACAAATGCTATATAGCTAACTAAATCAAAAGATATCAATGAATAGCCATATATAATAACAACTGTACATGCTATATCAACGGAAGAGAAAATCTATCACGTTTTGCTGGTGTCAAAACCCTCAAAAGATCCCAGCTTCTGATGCTGCTCAGGCCGTCTTCGAGCTACACTGTCCTCCTCACTTATTTCAACAGCCCCAAAGCCTTCATCCGGATATGTATGATCCAGCCGGCCTACGGAAAATGAATTGTCAAGAGTACTAAAAGAAGGTGAGGTACCCACTGAAGTGTCAAGCGAAGCATCCACTGAGGTCTGTGTAAAGTAGGCATTCCTACGAGCCAATTTTTTCCTGGCTTTGGCTCGCCATCTTTTTAGACCTTTTACCACTCCCTCTGTGAAAACAGCTTTCCTCATTGTTGTACCCATCTGTTACAAATTACACATTTGATCAAAGGGCTGGCTTAAGTGAGGAATTAATCTGTACGTGATAATCTAGTTGCACATTTAATCATTTCATTATTAGCTTTAATAAACAGAGCCACACTCAAAAGAGTTTGTGTGTTTACCTGTGTAACCAAAGCAAATAGGGGCAGAGTTACATAGCCACAAAGGATATGAACCAACAGTCCCATGGCAAGCTTCAAGACGATATTCTCAGTTTCTCGGTGGAAGCAAGTTCTTAACCCAAATTTGTACTGTTTATATATATAATAGCAATGTAAGTGATGAAATCTTCTAGCTAAAAACTTGACAAGTATTGTACAATTCAGTGATGAGCTAGCTTAAATATGCTTACCCAAGACCATGTGAAGAATGCCAGTTGAAAGGAGTTCTGCAAAATCCAAATTTAGCATAGGTTGAGAATAAATAACATGATGAAAATGTTTGCTAAATCAAAGGCAATTACTCGAGAATTCAGAAAATTCTTTTCTTGCTTTCAAGAACAAAAGTCATAGAATTTTAAGGTTCCAAAAAAAATTTTAAAAATAAAAAAAGAAAAAAGAAGGAGGTTTCAAAATAATGCTTACAAACCGAAGAAGCAATCAAAAGGATTGAAAAATCACCTGAAATAAAATGAAGTGCATGAGGTGGAGAAGTAGTTTCGGTCGACCAAACCAGAAAAAGTGGTCACTGGGCTTAACAAGCAAAGTTCCTCTAACAACATTAGATTTATCATTGCTATCTAAGCACATCTTTGTGATGATACTCTGTAGCTTTGTCCCAATCACAAGCAGCATCTGCAGCATAAAAAAATATAATGTCATTAATCTTTCAAATCATTGCAGTTTTCCCATAAGACGCGTTCTTTATTCAAAGTTAATTTAATTGCTTACCACTAATGGAATAAAGGGAAGCCAATAATAGTTGTAGAATACTGCAGTCAATAAATAAATAAATAAAATTAGTTAGCATAAGATAGGTTATCAATCTTAATTTCTCTGTTCTAATAGAAGAAGATAGAATGGATTGAGAATTACAGTGTGCATTGAGGAATATGAAAAGCACCGAGAAGATCCATATCCAGAGGCTGCAAAAACAAGATGCCCAAGAACAATTATTTTCCGAAATTTGTGTTATTGCGAGAGAATTAATGGTGTATCACCGAATGCAATTCTCCATAGTTACCTAATTCCCACAACCACACCAAAATCTTTCTCCAAAGCTCTTCTTAAATACTTTTGGAAGTCAAAATTGCTTCCTGCTGAAAAATGTGCCTAGAGGAGAGAACAGGAAAAGACCAGATATTTTCAGGTGACATTATTAAGCAAAATTGTGTTTGCTAAATAAATTATTGATCACATACCGTAATGAATCCATGTCGAAGAATGAGATAATCTACTCTGGAGACTGACCCAAAAAACTGGCGAAGGAAACAAGCCTGCGAAAGATGGCTACACAAAATTAGATTGCCTAATAGAAAACAAACCAAATGTTACTAAAGAAGGTGGTTAATAGTTTCCTGGTAGAACTAACCGGCAAACGAAGATACCGATGTTCACTCCAAAACCTCAGATGCCTCCTTCCAAATGATGTTTGATGGATGAGTTGGAACCTCCGGGGATCTAAATAATTTCCAATACAAATTTAGTGATAAGGTTGGAAGAATTAAGTAGATGGGTTTTTTCAGATTCTTAATTTCTTATGATATTTAACAGTTAAATAGCAAATCATTTTTGGTTCAAATACATACAAAGAACAGTGAAAACAAAAATAACCAAACTTGTGCAAAGTCATCTAAAGTGTGTAAGGCATGGTCAATTCTTTAAAAATTCAAAAACGATAAAATGAATTACTATAAATTTGGGCAATTAACAAAGAAGAAAAATAAATTTTTATTAATGATTCATTGATTTGTTAAGGACTTGATCATTTCACTTTCAAGTAAAATGTAAAGACAAATTAAACAATACCTAAGCATGGTTTTTTTAGTGATTTTGTAGTTTCTGTGACATTGCTCTACTACCATGTATTTCATTTAATTTGATGAATTAATTTACACACACATATCTGTGTGTGTGTGTGTGTGTGTGTAATTTTGTGCTTCAATGGACAAATTATATTCTAGGAACAGTAATTATGCATTCCCATATTTGGTATGTAATGGAATTCCTAACAGGACAAAGTTAAGGATTTGTGACAGAGACATGTTTGGCGAAACCAAATTTCATAGGGTTGAAAGCTTACCGTTTGAAAACTGATACTCCAATGTTCTTGTTTCAGCCTCCCAAGACTCCCATTTTTTCATCTGAATAATATTTCAAAACACAAAGCCAAACATGTAAGTTGTCAAACATAGCTAGAGTCCAAAACTTCCCCATTTCAAATATCTCTAGAACCTACAGTTTGGTAAAGTTTCACTCCATTGACTACTTTTGAGAGATACATTCACACAGAGAATTCCTTTACAATTTCCCTTCCTCTTTTCAGACTAGTGAATTATTTCATTGCATCACTAAAAGTCAAACCCTCGAAACCAATCCCACCATCCACAAAGAAAGAAAAAGAAATAGGCAGTAAAATAGTACTTAGAGGGAAAATGGAGAAAATTCAAACTCCAAAGCCCCTGAAAGAAAGCCAATGGGCTCTGGCCAAGATGGTATAAGCTATCCTTCCCCTTTGGGGAGGTTTAGTGTTCGAGCGCTGATGGGGGCAAAACCTTATAGTGGATGTGTGTGTTTGCGTGAACTTTCGAAGAAAAAAAAATAAAAAAATAAAAAAAAACAAGGGATATAAAGAATATATATATATTTTACCTTAACAATTCCAAGACTGAATGTGAGGAAGGCAGAGAAAACATGGAAGAAGGCCAGCACAAAGATTAACATCTGGAGTTGCTGGACACCATTTCTGGACACCAAGGAAAGCTTTCCCTGTTCACAAATTCCAAGATACAATTCATGCTTGTTAGTGGCCAAATCATATTCAAACTGAAACAACAACATAAACTAGGAAAGAAACTAAAAAAAAATAAAAGAAACAACAACATAAGCTAAAATATATAATTCAAATTCAATGTCACAATATATGAACAAAAACCCAATACCCCCATTAATTAAAATTTGTATTTGTTTGACAATTAAACACATAATTAATACACTAAGGTAGGCATGTATATGATATACAAGTTATACAACCCACATTGACAGAACAACCACTAGGGAATTGTCAACAAGTATCAACTAAATTAAGCATAGTGCATGATTGAAGAGCACTCATTAAGCAATCCATCTAATAATATCTTTTAATGTTAATTTTACAGATATATCATATGAAAATATATTGAAATTTGATTTTAATGCCCTTTTGCTTTCTTTTTTTCTCACCTGCTCTGCACATTTGGTTTCTTCCTCATCATCACTCTCAAAGCTTCCACATGGAAGAAAAGTTTCACCGACACTTTTGGGTATACAGATATTTGCAATTAGCTTTTCGAAAACAGTAAGCAACAGAGAGATAAACCCCAACAGCATCAAATCTACATGCACAATATATAGAAGGAGAAATTAGAAATAAAATCAAACTATATCATTTTGCTTAATTAATTATATATAACAACGCTTTTCATTTTGTAACATTACTCATATATACCAGATTTAATCTTGTCAAGGGCTTGAATGAGAGATTTTCTCCTCTTCTTGTTGAAATACTGAAATAATTCACAATACCCATTAACAAACAGGTAATGAGCAAAAATTCTACATACATAAATCTATGTGTGTGTGTATATGAATGTGTGAGGTGATATGAGTGAACCATGCATGTCTATAGATATAAAACTTGCAAATATATATACACACACACACACACACACACACCTTGGTTAAGAGATGAAGGCAGTACTCAATAAGTATGGAAACAGATATCAAAACGAAGCACACAGTTGCCACTGCCCATGTTGGTGTGTATTCAAGCGTTGCTAACTCTGTAGTTTCTTCTGCCATCTCTCTCACTAAAAAAAAAAACTCTCTCTATTTTTGGAGTGTCAGGCCGGGAACATGGGTACGTTGTTTCAGTGGCCTAAGATACGCGTTGGGGAGAGTAATTATATAAAGACGGGTCTTTGCAGCGCATGTTAGTAAAAAAATATTCAAACTTTTGTTTCCGTGCGCTATGTTGACTCGTCAACCTCATGGTACGGAGGTGATGACGTGTGCATCAAACGGTAAAGAAAGAGGTCGTTTGAGATTAAATGACGATTTTGCACTTTAAGCGGCGCTCAAGGATTGGCTGTAGCTGGAAGTGGGGAAGCACCAAAAATCGACAGAGAACTGCTAAAGGGATTCGACTGTGACCTTGGTAGATGAATGACACATATCCAGGTGCAAAGTTAAGGCACGTGTTAATGGGGTCCACGAGGGGAAGGTTCTCCGTAGCCCTTGATTACGCGGGAAAGAGACAAGTGCTGCCTATGCGCGTTGCAGTGAAAAAATCATCTATTTATGAATATTATTTATAACGGAAGTCTAAAAGTATGTATATTAATTTAAATATGAGTTTTGACCTTAGGCAAAATAACACACCAATTCTTTTTTGGTGGGTACCAATACAATTACCAGGCAAGGCATAGTGCCCTTGACCGAAAAAATAAAAAGTAAAATAAAAAAAACGGTGTTTTAAAGAATAATACTTAAATTTTCACTAGTAAGATTTATAATACACTCATCGTTAACGTGGATCAATAATAAATTGACACGTGGATTAATAATAAATTGACATATAATTTTTAATTATCATATCAAAGAGGGTGAATAAATATTCATTTGTCAAATCAGAGATAGTGATTTGAATACTATTTATAATTTAATAATTAAAATAGAACGTGTCAATTTATTATTTATTCATATAATTGATGAGTATGTTATAAATCTTCACTAATAAAAAGAATAAAAAGAATCTAAATATTGTTCAGTTTTAAATATACAAATATAAGTGTAAATGTAGAAGTCAAGAATATATTTTATATCCTACATCGCAGACATATTGATTCTTCAGTTTCTAATGTGAAACTGCAATCGAAATTTCCCAAAAATAATAATAATAATAATAATAATAATAATAATGTGTATCTCATTGCCGGACTACCTTGACTCTTATGAATTCCGTGGTCAATTTAAGGGTCCTCTAAAAATTTTTAATTAATTAATTACGTAGTAATAAACAATATTTGTTCTAATTTGGAGTCAAACCAATTCTTGGATCACGCTAGTGACCTAATTAACTTCACCAGTGCTCTGATGGCATGAGGTGATGTGGACTCACCTAGAATTAGATTATGGAATCATGCTTAATTTTAAAACACGCGTCAATTAAGCTTGATGAATCATCGTTATAAATTTATTATGCTAAATTATGATCATTCACAACCCAAATCCACTTCAAAGGAATAATCTAAATGCAAAAATTCTCACTTCACAATTTATAAAGGTTCGGAAGTTTGAGTTTTCTTAAATAATTGTACAAAGCATATGAGACGGACGAATTATATGTGTTATGTTGTGTTTTAAGAGGCTCGACACCATTATTAATAAAAACAAAAAAAATACTCAAGTCAAAATATATATCATGATTAAACAATCTCGCTTGCAATTGACGAGAGAAACAATTCTTGTACAATTTATGGTATCCATTAAAACAAGCAGACCTATAAAAATCTATGGTTTTTAATTCGCCAGCAAAAATAGTTCAATAAATTATGAAGTTGAAAGCATAAATTAATGGTTGGTCTAGAAATATAAGTGACCGGACCATCAAACCCGAGCTATGGTTTTGAAAATTGGTCACATATATAGACTATGAACAAAAAATTTCCTTATTTCTCATTCTTATGGCGTCAACAACTCTCCGCGTGTATAGAATAAAAAAATGCATACATATTCATATTCTGTATTTTAGACTCTATTGAAGAGATTGCTATTTTGGTCAAATTTTATTGAAGCTACTAAATAAAATTAATGGTTGATCTAGAAATTGAAGTCATGGGACAATCAAATCCATGTTCCAAGAAACAGGCATTAAATTTAAACAATGGTTTCGTGAGCTATATATGTTTTTGACATTGTCACATCTATATATGACACTGTAAATGTGAATCCAAAACAACTTTTTTCCTTCCCATGCATCTTCTCATGTCAACTCCATCTCCGCGTGTATCGAATACATACATACATATATATATATATATATTGATTATTTGCGCGGACACATTGCAGTATATATATAGAGTAAACAATAGATTAAAGTCGCATATACGTCCAAATCTGAGTTACTCTCATGGAAATTGGGCTCCAAAATAATGCATCTTGTGGGAACAACCATGAATCGGAGTTTGTTGAGAGGCAGCAGAATGCATGGGTTAGTGGAAATTGTGTGGAAAATAAGGGAAAAATGATAGTGATAACACAAGGGAGTAGAGATGGGCCATGCAACTCTAGCGTCACTAAATTACGCCGGTGATAATGAGAAAAATGTTGACATGTCTTGATGTGAGTGCAATAATTGCTACAAATTTACAATATTATTGGAAGATTGGTTTATGATATGATGATTTTAGAGCATCTCCAATGCACCTTTTATTTGGGCTGCTAAACTCAAAATTTGAGAGAGGTGTAAAAAGTGGGCTCTCCAATGGGCTCTCAAATTTTGAGAATGCCAAGTTTTTTTTCAAATTTTTTGGCAGGCCTTCTCTCTCTCTGTACGACGCCGTTTGGAATGGCTTTATCTCTGTGCATTTCATGTCCCCTCTTTCGGTTGCGTCAAAATCTGACTTCAATCTCTCTCTCTATATATATATATATGTTTGTTTGTATATCTAACTCTCAATACAAAATCTGACTTCAATCTCTCTCTCTCAATTCAATGATTCCAATTTCTCCATGGTCGAAGATGGCATTTACAGATCCGGCTTGAGAGTTACTAGTTGCAGAGAGAGAGGGGGGGGACAAGCTTGAGAGTTGAGAGCCAACGATTGAAGCTTGTGAACGGCGAACTCTGAAATGATATGCCGATATGGGTTTTGATATAGGTAATAGGTTTTGAACTTTTGATTATTGTAGACAGATAGATATACTGAAATATAAACAATATATACATACATATACGTGTGTGTGTGTGTGTGTTTGAGTGTGTGTAAAAGAGATGATGAAGCTGAATAAGAAAAGAGAGAGAACACCGAAAATCATAGGAATGGGTGGAGTAGGGAAGCAAACAATTACAACATATATGTATCCATAGATTTTCAGAAAACATCATCCCCATTTTAGATCTGCTCTCAGCCGCCTCACTTACCCTAATTTGACAGATAGATAAACTTAAATATATGGGTTTTGAACTTCTGATTCTTGTAACTTTTGTAGTTTGTAGTTGCAGAGAGAGAGAGAGAGAGAGAGAGAGAGGGCAAGTTCAGAGTCAAGAATGAGAACAAAGATGGAGGCAATTGGGGAGGCTGAAATGATTTGCCCTAAAAATATTATGTGGGACATAATGCAATGAATGGTTAAGACGGGAAGGTAATTTCGAAATCAACGGTCAGAGTTAAAGTAGGATTGGAAAAGTAGATGTGGGTTGGACTTGGTTTAATAGAAGGTGAGAATTGCTAAAATATAACATTTTGAATGGAGTGCATCATTGGAGCAAAATTGTTAAAATATAGTATTTTGACACTGTAGTTCCACTCAAAATATAGATTTGACGGCCCGACATGGCATTTATCATTGGAGATGCTCTTGCTTCTTTAATTATTGTCACTAGTGACCAATTGTTGTGGGGTGTGGGGGTACAAAAGGAATAATAATTGCATTACACATTTGTTCTATCCAAGCAAGATGAGTGATTGGTGGAGTGTGAGAAAGAATGTAGACGAAAACACGAAATAAACGTACCATTATTTTGCAAATAGTGAGCGTTTTAGCCTTTTATTTTACGATTAATTCAAACAATGACGTTGCACTTGTAGATTATATAAAGTAGAATGTTAATTATTAAAGTACCTTAAATCATGCTAATAACTTTAATGATGTACTGTCCAGTGTCACTTTGTTTTTTCTAAGATTTTTAATGGAGAGATACTATTCATTATCTATAGTACAAGAATTAACGCATGATTGTGTTTGCCGTTGGGTTACACACCATGATCAGCAACCTCTCTTGTGGCACTATAAGCATAAATGTTTCCCTGTAACATCACTGATAACAAATAATAAGATCAAGTGGCATCCAATTTAATTAATTAAGAGAACAAAAAACATATCTTGATTTCTAGACTAATTACAAAAAGTGCATCATATTTGTTGTCCTGTGGTATAAGAATGTGAGCAGAGAAACCATGTGCCTAATCTGAATTAGAGATATTCTCATAGTAACTCCAAATATATATATATATATATATATATATATATATATATATAAACAACCTCAATTTAAAAATAAACATTATAAAGAAAACAAAAACTTCCAACTCTGCTTTAGCAGGGAAACAATGAAGCAGAAGATCAAACAATTTCCTGCAAAAATCATGAACAATTTATGTGTCACCCCTAAAAATTCCAAATTTGGGTTAGAGTATTTCATAAACTATAAAGAACCCTTTTTTCTGGCAAATTACTAATGTTAGGAGAGCTATCAAATAATAATAATAATTAACATTACCAGAAACTTTCATAGAATACAATTCCCATTGTCACGGAGGAAATTAAGTCACAATAAAGTTTACGGAAGGACAGTTACAATTTTTTTTTCCAAAAGCAAAGATATGTCATAGGTAAACAGACCTAATCTTCAAGCAACTATTGGTATCCAGCTTTGAAACCTCAGATGCCACCATTACATCTCCTTCACTAGTGAATTGTAATGTTTGGTACAGCACTGCCGAGGGTTTCTTTTTTCTCTTAATAAGTCAGCACTGCAGAGTTACCTGCAAAACAAAACCGGTAAATTTTAAAGAAAATCAGAACTTAACCAAAAGGGCAGAAAATCTTAAAGACAAATTTCATACTAAATAAAACTAGAATCACGCAAAAAAGTGTGTACTATGCTGGATGCTGATGTTAATGTGAATTATCTCCTAATACACACTTTAGACTAACACAATTTTCTAAACAAATGCATGAGATCCACATGACAACAAAATAGGCACCCACTCAAGAGGCTCACAAGATTCAGAAACCAGGATGCTGATATTTATATGAACTATCTCCAAACACCCTGAATTTAGACTACATGAACTATTTTTCTAAATAAATGGATGAGATGTTTCCTGAAACAGGAAGTGTATGGGAATCCCACACATCTCTCTCAGTAACATAGAAGAGCCATTTCAGCAGTGGGCCTTCTAGAATCTGACATGCTAGCTGTCACAGTCTGCCCACAATTTGAAGCTTAAATGTGTCGCAATCCGAAGCTATAAAAAAGCACTGATAATTGAAAAATAAAAAGTCACTTACTGATCTCTCCAATAAGTAACAAATCATCCCCATGATCCTTGTAACAGTCACCATCCCTTGTCTACACCATTCAAATGCTCTTTAGCATAAAATACGGTCCCACCTCAGAAATTAAATTTTCAAACCCATCAAGTTTGGAGAGATGAATTCCCATCTACAAACAACTCTGCAAGTTCTTATCTTACAACAGAAGTAAACTACAATGCAATATCAAGCAGCATATCTCTAACAGCATAGAGGTCACTCGCTTTGGTACAACTGCTTCCTACTACCTTGGTGACCAGAGGCGGCTTTGGATGCAAGTGCTCCTCACCACGGTGCAGAAAAGAAGATTCAGGACTACATGGAAATGTAACACAGGACGGATTGTCATCTTTATTTATAGCATGTCTTCCCTCAGTTAAGGGAAAACCAAAGAGCCTGCAGCTACTTTTACAAGTGGAAGCTAAATCTTGACTGCCCCTGGATGATGATCTAGTTGCAAAAGTAGGATGTGGAATAACTGGTTGCTTAAGCTCTGTTAAAAGACCAGAAGAATTAATGTGTTTTTTATTTACCCTCTTTGAGCTACACTCGCAAGCCGAGGTAGCTGTGAGCTTCCCACCATATGTTTCAGAGATATCAAAGGAAGTCCGGTTGCTAATCCCTTGCTTCTCCTGATTAGGAATGCCATACATTGCATGGAAGTTACGAGCTTGAGTGCTCGCTTGCTGGAACATTAACACAGAAGGTGGTGACGATGATTGCACCATTGGTGCAGATGGACGCACACAAGTATCACAACCCTGCATCAGACCAGACCAGCCATTTCCAGAGCTGGACACTTGAACACCACCAGTGATTCCTCGACGACCACTGTTTTCCTGCACCGTGTTAGCAGTTGGGCCTCTTCCATATGGCAAATTTATAAATGTTTCTTGACCTTGCAAGACCTTATTGAATCGGAAAGATTCACCAAAGCCTACGCTTTCAAATGAAATATCAGAATTTCCAAGCAGGTTTCTGACACCATTTCCTCCCGAAGAAATCCTGGAACCATTAGGACCAGGATAGCACATCCTTATTTCTGATGGATTACGATTCTGAGCATCAATTCCATCATAAGGATTATTAAAACCCAAAATTTCTTGACCTTGCAAGACCTTATGGAACCTTAAAGATTCCCCAAAGTCTGACACTCCTGTCCCATCTGTAAAAGGAAGAATAGAGCAAGTTAATATTCCTAAATGAAGAAGGAAGAGAATTTTATATTTGAAAAAATTGTTTCTAGGAAATGCAAGACCTCTGGGAATAGGAATATCTGGTTTTGTTGAAGGCAAACCATCCCTGGTCCTCTTCGTACCAGGAACAACCAAACTGCTGGATCCAGAAACTGACCCAGATGGTTCAATCTCCCATGGAGAAACCCTGTTATGTTGAATAGCCTCTATATCATCCCACCTTACCTGCAGAAGTGAGTCAACATGAAACTTAATACTTATGCCATAAAAATATTAACGTATGCATTGGAATATTTCACAATGACAATGGGCATATTATATGACGATGCACAAACACGAGGGACAACAGAGGTGGAAGAGAAGCAAGAAAAATTCATTTACAAACGTATGGAAATTCTGAAACTGATGAATTTATTAAGTAACAATCATTTAATATTAACAAATTTTACCATAGGCCTCAGCCCAGGTGGTTAATAACGATGTGATGACCTTCTCTCAAAGTACCGGAAAAAATAAAGAAAGAAAGAAAGAAAGAAATAGTAAGAAGTTTTTAAGACATAGTAGTAAGTTGTAAAACATTAGTGCCAAAAGCAAATTCGATATTCATGGTACTGCAATAGCATAAACACAACATAGTCAAATTTTATCTAGTTACAGGTTAATTTTGGTCAAAGACAATCATGGTGATGTTGGTTCCCTATAGGATTAGTAGCATTACAAAAAACAATTATGCTCATCAATCAGAAAAGGCCAGGCAAATTGTACTATACACCTCAGGTTTAAGTATGTCGCTAACAGATACTGCTACGCTAAACACCATCAGATAGGCTAATGTAGAAATACATGAATTGCATACCATTTTCAGAAGAGCAACCTTACCTCTACATGCGGAGAGGCTGTTTCCTGTTTCAAACCTGTGACCTCAAGGTCACAATTGGCAAACTTAGTGTTGCACCATGGCCCGCCCTCAGGATAAGGTTGAAAGAGTACAGAATATCCATGAGGTTGAAACTTAAAGCCTCATGTTGCATGTTTCTAATTTTATAAAATGAAAATTTTGCAGAAATATACAATTCATGTAGGAGAATGATGATAGTGGTATCATGGATTTTATACCACGACATGTTAAAGAACTGAGAAAATATACAATGGCACTTTCATCTTCGGAATTCCTTAGAATCTGGCTTAAGAACTTTTTTTAAAATGAAATTTACCATCTGGCAAGTTTTGAAAACTTGAGATATACAACATTCATAAATGTTTTTATTTTTAAGTAAGATAAGGTCTAAATAACAAGATTATAATATTTAAAGTAGAAAATTTATGGAAATCACTACTTTTTTTGTGAAGTACAAAGTGCACTCCTGCAAAAGGACAGACCATAGGCAAGAGGCGTACAACTTATTTACACAAAGTTCTATAAGCATGTGACCGTAGGTTAAGCCTCTCTTACAACTTAAAAGTGTGCTCCAACACTAGAAAATTCACATGTGAATGCAGAAACAGTAGAAATAATAATAATAAATAAATAAATAAAGCAGCTGCATGAATAGCCCTCATTTACCCATAAAGCCAGAATGAAGAAAGACTTCAACAACTTATTTACAGAAGTTCTAAATGTGAGTGCCCTTAGGTTTAGGTTGAGCCTCAAGGCATAAGCCTCTTTCTCTCAATTTTTTTTTTCCCCTCATTGATACTCACACACCCCGCTCAAGGAATTGTTTGCACCCAAGAGGATTCGAACCTTAAAACCTGATGCTTGAGGCACCAGGGCCAAGTTCTTACCCACTTGAGCAAACCCCTTTGGGTTCTCTTTCTCTTTCTATCAATTTAAAACACAGCCACAAATAACTGAGCTCGCACTGGAAGAACTTCCGCTAGTGAACAAAAAAAAAAGTAAACAATCATTAAAAGAACTACATACCAATAGGCACCTCCATTTTGAACCAGGCCATCTAAAAGGATCCATATCACCAATCCCAGTTATTAGTCCAGTATACCTGCCAGAAATCATGCATGTTAGATGCTGGTGGCACAACTTATTTTAACTGCTGCAACAACAGTATAACTAACCTTCTCTCTGCTGCATCTTCTGTTTCAAAACGCATTCTAAACCTCATTCCAGCAGAAAAAGAATGAGCAAGGCTCTTTGAGAATTTACGTAATGGAATTATAAACTCTGACAAGCTTGCCCTACAAAATACAGTTGAAATTTAGAGGCAGTGAGATAAAGATCGGAGAGAATAGACCAAGGAAGTCTTTGGAAGCAGCACAATGTTTAAAACACAATTAAATTTTAGAACAAATTTTCAATATACATTAAAACAACAAAGCATCATAAGAAAGTCAATTAAATTTAGGAATAATGAAAGGTTTACTAAAATTTTGGAGGCAAGATCTCGAAGCTGATTGGTCGATATGATTATCAACATGACAAAATTGGGAACAAATTATCATTCTGAAATTAGCTTACAAATCGACCATCTTATAAATTTCAAAATTAAAAATTACTAGATCACCTTATGACGCCAACCATGTGCTAATCACTTTCACGTTATGTCAATTTCTTTCTATAAGATTTATGATATGAAAATATATCGAAGTGTATACTGAGGCACATTCAATTGATGATGCCATGCAGGGAGCATTTCTTTAACCATATTACGAGCATTATGCATTTCCTTTGCCCAGTGATTGCTTTAACCACATAAATGTGATGTTTCTTGATTAAAAATAAAAAATAAATAAATAAAGAACTAGTAGTTATGATTCAACAACTCATATACAACTGTTTGTCATAAAATTTGGTTGGGCCAATCCTGCCAATACACCTCTCATGTCACTTATTATCCGAAGGTGCAGACATCTCTAACAACCTCGTTGAGAAGCTTTGGTTGAAAACACACCATCAAGATAATGCCTGTGTCAGAATTTCATTTTTTATTTTCTCCATCTAAAGCAATTAGAAAAGGTCTTTAGAATGAGCAAGATGTTAAATTTGCAACTATGCAATCAATGCAACATTTCTGTTATACAAAATATTTGGACCACAGTACTTTAAAAATATAATTAAAAAAATAGTGCTACAAAACTCATTTTGAAAGTAAACCGAGGCATCATTTTCTCATATCACCAAGTTTAGACCCCATTGTACGGCAAAGATGTTCCGACAATTTCACCATAAATAGAACGTGCTACGCATCTTACGTTTCCTTTTTAAAAAGGTGACCCTGTAAGGCCAATACCACACATGCACTGCAGCTTTCATCAGCATTCAGCACTCAAGTTATGCATTATGAACAGATGAAAATTATAATCAAGCATTGGTATTTAAATTCCATGTCACATTAGCCGAGTAAAAAGAAGGGAAGATAATTTCTAGGAGATCATGTAACATTTCATATAAACCAATCTAGCCATCAAGAAATCAAATATTTTTTTTTCTTTCCGAAATATGACAATATTTTAACTGGAGATTCAAAATACCTTGGATTGTAGAAAACATTGAACATAGTTCTCTTAGATATAGCATTGGCCACATCAGTGAAACTCCCAACATTCAACTGCTGGCTACAAGGGGTTGGAAAAATAGCACCATTTTTAACTTGAGCAGCTCTTCGAATTCCCAACCTCAATTCTCCATCATCACCCCTGCCATAAATATAAGTACAAGATTATAAAGTGAAGCTAAAATTTCTTCAAATTTAGGTTTCCATACCTAAGAAAAAGAACAGCATCTCCAGAGACAAGCTTTTTCTTATTTACAAATGCACTCCAACCAGTAGTGAGCAAATGCCTTCGAGGCTGGCCTGCTCAAACAGAAAAGAAAAGGAAAAACTTGAAACATTAAATTGTAAATCTCACAATCATTGCAATCCCCATCACTATGAAAGTTCTTCACACAAGAAAAATAGAACCCCAACAAATGAAACACAGTTATACAAGTTTTGTCGCATTACCCCGGTAGATATGTCGGAACCTCCATTCAATCCCATACAGGTCTTTTGCTAATATTTCTTGTGAAGGCCTTTGTTGTTTATAATCCTACAACAAAAAATCTAGCAAAAGTCAGGATACTATAGAATAGAGGAAATTGATGGAGCACATGGATTAAATATGTATAAATCTTAGATAATTTAAAATAAAATAAAAATGAGCAGAAATTTCAAATTGGGTTCAGCTGAAATTTTAAAATGTGAGGGAAAAATAATTTCAACTACCAGGGGAGGGAAGCAATCTTCAGCTGCTCGGCGTGGGACAGAGAAACCTCCATGAGTGCTAGTATCAGAAGCAGTAAGGGTCTTGCAGAACATGTGGGGTGTTGTTGACTTCACAGCACATTCAATGTCGTCTACCTCACCATCTGCCTCGATTTCCCCTTCTCTCCATTTCTGTTCAATCTGCTTCACGCAGCAAAAATTTAGCCAAAAGTAAAAGTAACACAAAACAGAATCACCAAAAAGTAAAGGTCTTCAAATGAAGATGAACATTTTGAAATAACACATGCTATGTTTGGCAGCACCCCCTTGGATTTGGAATCGGAGAAAATTTAGTACAAATTTTGAACTAAACTTCCTCCAACCTCAAATCTAAGGCACTGATTCAGTGCTCCCAAACATAACATTAGGGATCTCTTGGCTGGCATTTTCAAAATCCTCTGCCGCAATTTTTCGTGTATGAAATCAGAGTTTGCATTTTTAAGTTTGTTGAAGCAAGAATAGAACTTCCAAAATGCTAACCGAACATCAATTCCATAATAAGAGAGAAATTTAAGCAGAGGAGTCACTCTTAGAATGCAGAACCATATATATATATATATATAAACACACATTCTTATTCCTAACCTGACTATCTGGAGTTAGGGAGACCTGTGCATAAACCTCATCAGTGGCTGCCTCCGCCTACCCAAAACAACACGTCAAAACAAATCCAAAATTAACAAAGGCTCCAGATATAGAAACCAAATCACAACAAATTTTCCAAAATTGAAACCCTACCAAATAGGAGCAATTAATTGGGCCATAAAAATTCACAAAAACATTCAAACATTGAATAATTTCATATATACATAAACAAACACATATGTATATACTTTACAAATATATATATATACACACACATATACAAAACTATATCACTCACATGAAGCTTGACATCGAGAACGCGACAGAAGACATGAGGAGGGAGATCGTAGGATATGGCGGGAAAATCAGATTGATGTTCCAAGTGACCCTGTGGAAAGTAGACCACTACACTCCCTTTCTTCGGCAACGATATGAGCGGTCCAGCACACGCATGCCATAGCTCCAAACACACCGACGACGACGCCGGCACCGGCGGAGCTGAGGCAGAGGATGACGACGAGGAAGGCGAATAGAACGACGGCGTCTCGTCGTCGTCGTCGTTGACAGTGTTGAGATCGATTAATCCGCACATCATATCAAAACCCTAGGAAAACAGAGCGAAATTGAAGAGAAATGGAGGAAAAATACGAAGTGTATACAGTCGATTGCGCGATATAAAGATATAGAGAGAAACCCTGCATCCCAAAGGGCTCTGCTATCTGCACCTGCTACTTAACCTGCGCACTCCCCACATTGGCTTAAAGAAGATGAGTCAAAAAGACCTTACTCTCTCTCTAAAATAATTTTAAGACAAGCTTTTACACATCAAATCCACTTTACGAGTTTCGATTACTTTATATACTATATTATATATGTGTGTGTATAAATATATATATACAGGAAGTAGTATTTGGGGTTGATGTTGTTGTTCTAACCTGCAAGCTGCAGCTGCTGCTGCAGGCAGCAGCGCTGCGACTGCTGGGTGGAGGAAACAGCTACTGTGATGTGTGGAGGAGAGAGAGTGTGTATGTATAGAGTGAGAAAGTATACAGAGAGAGAGTGGAAAGTATACACACAGAGAGAGAGAGTGGAGTATTATGAAGAGAGAGACTTAACGTTTTTAATGGTATACTTATGGGTATTGTCGTTGGTTGAAATCTAATATAATTCTGTGTACGACCCCCCTTCATTTCCGGGCGGATGTCTATTCTGTCCCTTTCTCATCCAACAAATCTCCCCCATGTCCCCAATTCCTTAATTAATCTTCTCTTATTGAGAAAAGACATACTACTTTGTTTCTATTTAATTAATAAATTATTTTATATTATATAATGTTGGTGGATCTAAGTATATTACTATTAGAGCTTATGATGCTTACCCTTGATTTTTCTATTTTGTCTCCCAATTCAAACTTATCTAAATTTCCTACTTTGCACAAATAAAAATATATAAAAAATAAATAAATAAAGTTTAACAACAAAACATGTAAAAAAAAAAAAAAAAAAAAAGTATAGGAGCCTTGATTCGTAATTATTATAACGTTAACACTCTAAGAAGAGAGATACTCAACCCAAGTTTTGTCTTTGCCAAACAATACAGTAGGATATTGTGAGTTGTGACATATTTCCTGTGCAATATGAATTTGGTTATTACAAAGTGCTGCAACAAGGCCAAGCCAAAATAGTGCCCCGTAGTAGTAATAAGTTGAGGGACCTAATATGGGGGTGACTTTTAACAAATATATATATATATATATATATATATATATATTATGGTGAATTTTTTAAAAAAATTTAGGGGATCAAATTTTATATTTTTAGGGGAATATAAAAATAAAACTAATAGCTATAAATTAGTCGCCATTGGACCTACATTGAATCCGTGCCTAAATTAGTTTCCAAACTTATTTCAATCCATTCTATTTACAACAATTGCTTACTAATTTGCAATGGCAAAGTCTTATTTTTTTTTTCTTAATTACATTAATCCTTTTATGTATTGCCGTGAGACTCATTTTATGCTTAAACAAGTCCATTGGTTTGAATTTGAAAATAAATTTTTCTATAGGGAATTTGGGAGTAAAGTTGAGGTGAAATAACATGATTTTGGTTTTCAAATGTTTTTGCCCATCAAGATGTGCTTGTTTAAGATACAATCACATATATGAAAAATTATTACATGATTGGGGCTAATTACTACTTAATAAATAAATAATTATATCAATTTTATTTTGTTATTTGTTTACGTTTCAATTAATAATTAACTGAGAGCAATGGTCCAGGACCATAGTAATTATATTTCCTATACTACTTCAAGTTCCAAGTATTTTAGCAAATAGGATCCTCCAATTCAACTGTTCTATGCATGGTGCTGGAGTTGGCTTGAGTCTATGCCTTTTCTTGTAAATGTATATTTGACCACTTTTTGGTGGCACATGTAAAATAAGCATCTTTGAATGCAAAATGATGACAATGAGAGTATTAAAACTTTTAAGAATTAATTGAACACTTCTAAGATAGATCAATAGCTACTAAATGAATCCAACCATTGGGTAATAGCTTCCCCAAAGCAATCCCTTATACAAATAATCTCACATCGTCTACGCTCGTGTCCAATAAGGGACATGTTAACTTGTTTTTAGAGTTCTGTGACACGATTTTATATTCTTTTCTAATTTATTGCAACGTTTGTATCAGTACATAACAATAAACCGATAACTTTTTTTAAAATTGAAAATAATGATAATAATGATAACGATTAAATACATATATCAGAATTTTAATAAATAAATAAAAAGTAATATCATGAACAATTATAACATAATGATTGTCTAGACTCATTGAATGAGATGAACTTTGATTGAATTGGGTCATTTAGTAATTGTTTCACTGCACCACCCAAGTAAATTAACTTCATTCATTACCAAAATTATTCCATCCTAAAAATAACTACCTTTACAAGGTGAGTTGTAATAAAAATTACCTACAAAAGAAGCTAGTTAATTGTTGAAAACTAGGGCACATAAATGATATGTTAACGACCATAAAATTGGTAACCGAAAATGGGAATTTAGGTAGAGAGACATGGAATGGAAATGGTCCATGTGAACCAAAAAGGGAATCAAGCTTGAGAGACATAATAATCACCACTTTAACCGACTCAATTTACTTTCCCTAATCGTTTGAAGGAAAAGGGTAATTGTGTCAATTCAAGTGATATATGGACAAATGTGTCACGATGTTGATAAAAAGAGGCAGGTCTTAATCAAAGCCATCAATTGCAAAGAACCCAACAGAGGCCTAGACCTATAGCTTTGTAAGCCTAGATCGATAACCCGGACAAAACGGGTTACTCTACTCCAGTGTCCAATTGGCTGTGACTTTGCCGCCTATCCTTTCTATCTTTGCTCTACCACCCTTTTTTCCCACGCGCCTTTGAGAGAATCAATAACACGTGAATCCATTGGAAGAGCACGTGCATATCTCGAGATTATATGATTATTATTTTGTTTTTTCACTTTGCCGAGAAATACCCACCCAATTTATTTCTAAAGCGACTTAAACCTCCAAATATTTGTTTTGAAATATAAGGTCTTGTTTGGTATGTCTTTTGTTTCTGTTGTTTTTGTTTTTGAGTTGTTACAGTGTCGATTTTGGCAACAAAAACATATTTGATGCAACCTTATTTTATTTTACATAATGTTAAAACACTTTGTGAACAGTGGCCCAAAACCAAAACACCAAAAAATTTTTTTTTTTTTTTTTTTGACAACTGTTCATGGCCCAAAACCATAACAGTAGACAAACTGTTCATGGACCAAAACCGACATTTTCACAATAAAACATCATTTACAAACGTGCTTTTGATTTTTTTCTAAAACACTCTTACAACAAGAATATTGTTTCTGTTTTAATAAAAAACAAAACGTCTAAAACAAAGCGTATATAAAACGGACCTAAGAAAACACTATTATACTAAAATTTATGATGATGTAAGGATGGTCAATTAAAAATATTTTTAAAGTAAAATATTAAATTTTGAATTGAGATAAGGATATCTAAAAATAAAATGTAGACTTTTGTTTTTTTTTTTTTTTTTTGTGAAATAGAGGTAGTATAACACACTATATTTTGTATCAAATGTTGTACATACTGACGGACTAAGGAATTTCTTTTTCTTTTTTTTTACGTTCCCGAAACATTTATCAATAATAATTTTCTTTTTAAAACACTATGATTTCTCTCAAGATCATCCATAATTTATCCTTGGTAAACCTTGAACTCTTAATTTTTACTATATTTTAATTACCGAAAAAGAAAGAAAAAACAAATAAAATGTATGTCACACGTGCCATCAAGAAGCGTGGAATAGCATCTTTATGTTGTCGTCTTTTAGTTTATCTCACCTTACCCTTTTGAGTCAGACCCACACCCACCGCACTATATATTTAATAGTATAGTTTAGTCGTTATGTTATCTGGGCACCCAAGTTACCCCATATGGCCCAAATGCCCAGTATCTCACAGTATAAATCTTACTAACAAACATGTCACTATCTGTGATATAATAATTACAAATAAGGAGCGCTTATATCACTTTTTTTTCATTTTAAACGGCGCTTATATCACTTACTATATTAAATTTTCTACCTATTGCGGTCAATCATATATTTGTAATTCTTCTGCTAGGAAAACCAAATATATTACACAAGTACCCCTCTTAGATTCTGCATGTGTGGCTGGTGCTTCATTGGACATTTCTCTTTTTAAATCATATAAAATGTATTGAGACTTACCATTTCTATGTCTTCTTCGCTGATATTTTTCGTATTTATTGTCTCATAAAAATAAAAAATAAAAAAAATCAACAAAAAAATAAAAAAAGAAAAGAAAAAGCTACAATTCAGTATGGTTAACCTTTGAGATCATATGATAATTAAGAGTCTTATAAATTAAAAACAATGGAGTACGTAGTCTTTAGCTGAAAAAAAAAATTAAAAAAAAAAAAAAAAAAGACAAATTCCTTGTTATATCTTGATAAGAAACACTTTTTCTTCGGGACAAATGGAGTTACTACACATTGGCACCACTAAAGCCAAAGGATCCATAAAGTTTGACTACTAAGGGGCAAAAAATTTTACTTAGAAAGTGAGAGTTCGAAATTTCTTAGAATGAATCTAGTGTATTTTCTTGATAATTGTCAAGAATTTATCGCATAAACAAATTGCATGTGTCAAATCATCCGACACTATCATCGTGGGGAAAAAAAATAAATATTTGACTGCCCACTGGTAAATACTCTTAGTTGCAGTTTTACAGCATATTAGAATTCAATAGAATTTAAAAGTGGTTCCTTTTGGGATTGTTAATGATGAATAGGGTGGTAGTGCAAAACCCCACGTGCACCACATGGAAATTTGGTAATGCTTTGTAATATCATAATTGTTTTTGCTAATCATAATTTATTTAGAATCTTATCTTAAACAACCGCATAATGATGTCTGCGACCCATGTTTACAAATTTGCCGCCTTTGTCTCTTTTTGTTAATGGATTGGTATGATTATTTTATGAACATCATAAATTAAAATTATTAGTTTATTACTAATTATTTACTCTAGACATAACAAAGTGAGGGACTTTTGAAGAGGAAAGTATTAAAATGATGATAGTCTTGTGGTTGTGATTCTATTTTGTTGGTGTAATGGTGTGTCCTTTGAAAAAACAAACTAGAGATACTTAAGTAGATTACACTGAAATATAAATAGAATTAATGATCACTAGCTCAATATTCACCTGTTGTCCATCGACTACGCCTTTCGGCCTGATCTTAGGTCCTGATTCACCCTCCGTTTGGAAAGAAAAACATAACTTCACATAATTTTAGATCACGCTTAATTTCGGAGTACTGATGAGTTTACAGTTATCATGGCTTTAAAACGTTGTGGTAGTATACTGGTGTCGCTTGCACACGCTTACATACACCCACCTACAAGATCGCCACAATCACCCCCTCTTTGGGGCCCAATGTCCTCGTTGACCACACTTTCGACTGAGTCAGGCTCTAATACCATTTGTAATAACCCTCATCCCACCTAGACACAATATTATTCACTTTCGGCTCCTCCAAA